GTCAGGTTTTTAGGTACTTGAAACCAGCTATTGTGTCCCCCCTCAGTCTTCTCTGTTCCAAATTAAACAAGCCCAATTCTTTCAGTCTTTTCTCATAGGTCATGTTCTCTAGAACTTCAATCATTTTTGTTTCTCTTCTCTGTATCCTCTCCAGTTTCTCCACATCTTTCCTGAAATATGGTGCCCAGAACTGGACACAATACTCCAGTCGAGGCCTAATCAGCACAGAGTAGAGTAAAATAATTACTTCTTGTGTCTTACTTACAACATTCCAGAATGATGTTTGTTTTTGCAACAGTATTAATTTGTTGATGCATATTTAGCTTTAGCTATGTTGAGGTAGAGCTCATGGCTAGACATTCATGAGGATATTTCAAAGAGACAAGTTAAGATTTAGTTTGGACAGCAGACCGGTCTTGGGCAGCGAGGCAGTTCTGTGAGTTGGCAGCACAGAGATGGTAGTTGAACTTATGTTTACAGATACTGTCCAGAGATAAAGGATAGAGGGAGAAAAGAAGAGGCTTGAGAGCCCTGTGAAACTGCACAGAAATTTGGAAATTGGATGAGGTAAATTCTCTGAAGGATACACTGAAGGAGATTAAAGTTATAGGAAGACAACCAAGACAGGACAAATTATAAACTCTCTCAATAGAATACATCTTTTTCAGTGCTATTTCTGTTAATTTGAATATTAAAATTATATAATGCTATATTATTTATTTTGGAAAAGAAAATGTTTAAATTTTGGTATGGCTGACAGAATGTTTTATTCATAGTAAAACATGAAAAATAATATTTTCCTTAGAAATACAATTTAAAGTTACAATTGTAAGTCTGATATTCCATAATGACTTCTTTACACTTATATTTCTAACATTAAATAGTAAAATCCTACCAACGGCTTTAGATAAATGACACTCCAAACATCCCTGGCCCTTAAAAGGAGAGGAAATGGAATGTCTTGTTTTTCTATATTTTGTTTCCTTTTTCTTATGAATCAATGAAAATCAAAATCATATTATATTTTCCCTTAAGAAATTTGTAAGAAATACACGTACAAAACTTTAAAACTACATCACAACAGAAGCTAAATTAGCTCACCACAAACTGGATACAAATGTCTGAACAGTAAAAAGTCTCCATGTTCTTTTACCTGGCCAAATACTTGATCAGATGATATGAGGAAACACTGGGTCATTTTCATCTTTAAAAATTGAGTAGCAAATGTTTTGTGTTTTATTAGTCACAAGTTCATGAAAACTGGCTGACTCCAAAATTTAGAGTATGCTGAAATTTCACAATGTACTCATCATGTTCTACAATGTATGCAAGTACAAAAATTGTACAAATTTTGAAAATATGTATTCTACCATATCTTATTAAATAGACTGGAAGGAAAAAATTAAAAGTTTTTGGAATCTTAGTTACCATCCAAGAATTCTGTGCTGCTTGTTATGTTAACTCTTAAGGGATTTTAACACTTCTTGCCTTCTATGATTCCATGGGGAAAGCCAACCAACCAACCAGAAAACAAATACATAAAATATGTATCATGGCAAAGATTATCTCCTATCTCCTTGCTCATGCTGGTTTTTGCCATTCCAAACCAGCGTACCTTTCATTGGGGTATGTTTTCGTGATGGAAAAAAGGCTACTTCCTTCTCTCTGATGGGAATGGAAAAGATAGACATCGGCAGGGTAGTTCAGCTAAGGAGTCCAGGGAATACACTTGACTCAACACACACCATCTGTAGCCACTACCAGAAAAGAAAGCCATTCACAGTTGGTAAAAGGTGTTGGTGGTAGAATTCTACCATCTCACTGGCATGCAGACAAATGCAATTTTTACCATGTTATGCCAGTGAAAGTGATTTAAGCTTCCCCAAAGGAAATAAACACCTAACATTAAAACAGAACATATTTACAAAAAGATAAGTACAATTCTTTCTCCATAATTTTAACAATTATATGACATAAGAACATAAGACTAGCCATCCTGAGTCAGAACAAAGGTCCATCCAGCCCAGTACCCTGTCTGCTGACAGTGGCCAATACCAGGTGCCCCAGAGAGAGTGAACTGAACAGGTACTGATCAAGAGATCTCTCTCCTGCCATCCATCTCCACGCTCTGACAAACAGAGGCTAGGGACACCATTCCTTACCCAGACTGGCTAATAGCCATCTATGGATTTAACCTCCATGAATTTATCTAGTTCTCTTTTAATCCCTGTTATAGTCCTAGCCTTCACAACCTCCTCAGGCAAGGAATTCCACAGATTGACTATGCACTGTGTGAAGAAGAACTTCCTTTTATTTGTTTTAAACCTGCTGCCTATTAGTTTCATTTGGTGGCCCCCAGTTCTTATATTATGGGAATAAGTACATAACTTTTCCTTATTCATTTTCTCCACACCACTCATGATTTTATAGACCTCTATCATATCCCCCCCCCCCCAGTCTCCTCTTTTCTAAACTGAAAAGTCCCAGTTGCTTTAACCTCTCCTCATATGGGACCCGTTCCAAACCCCTAATCA